TTCAGCTTGTGGTTCTCCTACCTCGGGGGTATGGGGCCCAATTATATCGTGAGCACAGCCCTCCTACCGTCCTGCTGTGGTTCCCTCTTTATGTTTCCATTTGCAGAAGATCTTTTTTGCTGGGTTCTAGTCTTTTTTCAATGGTTGTTTAGCATTCAGTTGTGGTTTTGTTGTAATGGCGAGGAGAGGCAAGCTTGTGGTCCTGCCACTCTGCCATCTTGACCAGAAATTACCAGTCCCATTTTTGTCCTGTTGTTGTAACATATTTCACTTCCATATATGTTATAAACCCCACAGTTGATTATTATTGTTTCTCTATACTATAAGAAGTCTTTTTTATAAAATGTAAGTAAGAGTGTTACCCACATATTTACCTTTTTTGTGGACTTTGCACCTGTCACTCTGGCAAGCGTTAAAGACAGTTACTGCGTGCACTGCAGGTGAGGCATGAAGTGCTGCACCCTTTATGGGAAGAATCTGACAAAGGTGTGAAAGAGAGCCACGCTCCTGGTTCAGCCCTGTCAGACTGTCCCATAGAGGTTCAGGGGTAGGGGTGAGCGGGTGACGATGTCGGGGAGCAGGGACAAGGTCGAGGCTGATTTGAAAGGAGTCAGAGGATACAAACAAGCAGCTGTTAAAATGAAGAAGACGACAGCAGGTGCTTAAAGGCGTGTTTGACCTCCTTAATAACCAGAGAGATGATTTCTCCTCATCTGATTGGCAGGGTTGCCATGGTGATGTCCATTGCTGACGAGGGTGCAGGAACGTCAGGGCTTCCGCTCCTGCTGTCCGTCCCGCTCACATGTAGGGGTGACCGTCCACCCTCCAGGAAGCAGCTGGTGGGGGACTCAAAACCCACAAAAGACCTCGATCCGTTAGTTTCACCCTCAGGATTTTATCCCAAGAAAGTTATCAGGGACAGACTGACTAATATTAAAGTAAGTTTATCTCAACACAATTTGTAATAGTAAAACCTGAAAATAGTCTTAAGTATCCAAAACTGGGAGGTTTGTTAAATAAGTTACAGTAATTTATAGGATGAAATACTATCAGATACTTAAGATGTGTTTAGAAGTATCTTTCAGAATGAGGAAAAAAGTTCAGAAAGGTGGAAAACGTGTCATTAGGCAGAATTGTGTGACCCCAGCAAACCCTGTGTAAGGAGTGTCATGTGTACTGAAGAAAGCGTGAAATGCTGTCGTGTTATCGTCTCACCAGCGTTTATCTGACCAATGAGTGAGATTACAGGTGGTTTTAATTTTCCTGTGTGCTCTTGTGCTTTCGCACATTTTCTAAAGCGAACATGAGTGATGTTTGTGTTTAGGAAGATCTGTTTACATGTGTGTTTGGGGTGGGGTTCTGGGTTCGGCTCCAAGGTGACTTCCCGCAGGCCGGTTCTGACGTGAAGCGGTTGGGCCATGGCCCCAGGGTGTGAGGCGCCTCTTCTGGGCCTTGGGCGGCCCATGTCAGCGGCGGGGCTATCCACGGGCCACCCCGGCAGCACTCTGTAGGCCTTGGCACGCCACCTAGCTCTACCCTGGGTCTGACGAGGCCCCTGCCTCCTGGGCTGGTCATCAGTCTGAGGAAGTGCTGCTGTCACCGCGTCTGTTACTGAGTAGATGCTCAAGAGTGCCTCTTCCTGGTTTATTTTCCTGATGCTCTCAAACCATCTTGTGCTAGAGATGGAGAGTCAAGATGGAGGGAGGGTGTGATCCCTTGACTCTGCTGGTGAAGATGACCTGAAATGTTTGTGCAATACAGACGTGGTCACATGGACTTGATGTGAAACCATACCGATTACCTAGAGCCAGAAAACAGAGAGACTGAGAGAGACTGGGGGAGAGAGAGAGACAGAGACGGAGACTGGTGGAGACCCGAGGAGAGAGAGAGAGACAGACAGACAGAGACAGAGACAGGGGAGTGGGGAGGGAGAGGGAGACGGCATGTGGGAGCCCACAGTCATCTCCTGTCCCCCTCAATCTGAGCAGGAGGGGGAGGACCCTGTGGAGCCGGGCGAGGAGGAGCACCCCCAGGGGACGGAGTGCCTGGAGGAGTTCGTGGCCATCGCGGACTATTCTGCCACCGACGAGACGCAGGTAGCGGTGTGGGCCATGCCTTAGGGCTCAGCGTGTTCAGTGACAGAATTAGACGTAAGTTTTGCAGAAGTTGTACCAGATTTAAAGAAAGAAGTGTTCAGATACTTAGAGCCACCCGGAACCTGTGAGTGACTCTCCCAGCCTAGGATATTTGGATCCAGGCCTGATGTGGAAGACCCCGGGTGAGGAAGGGGAGGAGGGAGTTTCTGCTCGGAAACCATTATTTAGAAGCTATTCTAGTCAATGAGAAATTGGGTGTGAAATAAAAGTATCCGCTTGAATGTAGCTTTCTCTACTTTGTAACAGAAATGTCCTAGCGTGAACCCCAGTTACCACCTGGTTACGGTGGAGGGGCTGTTAGAAATTCTGTTCTGAGAAATTTAAGCTGTTTGAAAATGTTAAATCTTTTTAAAAAATCAATTAAGCTACGCTTTTGTTTCATGTAGATGTTCCACAAAAATCTCTAAATCCTGGAATCATGTTTGTAAACTCAGTTGGTGTCATTACCCATTGACTCCTTTTTGGAATCACAGTGATTTGGGCCCCAGTGATGGGGGATTTCTCCCTGAACTATAACTGAGATGCCAACTACAGGTCGTCCTTTAATTTTCACTTCCGTATGTGTTTTGTAGCTCAGCTTTTTGAGAGGAGAGAAGATCCTCATCCTGAGACAGACCACTGCAGACTGGTGGTGGGGCGAGCGGGCCGGCTGCTGCGGGTACATCCCAGCGAACCACCTGGGGAAGTGCCTGGAGGACTGGGGCCCCGAGGACTCCTGGCAGGACGAGGAATACTTCGGCAGCTACGGGACCCTGGTACTGCCCCTACCCTGTCCAGCTGGCCGCGGCAGCTGCTTCTCCCCAGTTGTAGGTTCTCACTGTAAAAAATAATTTCTGGGCTGCTCACCGCTCGGAGCAGGCCCCCCCGCCGTCCGAGTGCCGAAGCAGCTGTAAAAATCAAGTGAGCAGGGCTGTACTCCGACAAACCTCACCTGTAGACACTGAAATCTGCATTTCATAGGATTTTCAGGTGTCACATTCTTCTTTTGATTTTTAAAAACCATCAAAAATATGTAAAAGCTATTCTTAGCTTGCAAGCCATACAGAGCAGATGGTGGGCTGGACTGGCCCACGGGCTGTAATGTGCTGACCCCTGTTTAGAGATACTATCTTAGTGCTGGGATTATGAACTTTTCTCAATATTTTTTTAAAAGTAATAAATTTTACTTAAAAAACAAATTACGAAAAAGTTGCACGAGTCAACAGTAGTGTGTGTGACAGGTAGCTCATTGGTGTGTGTTTCTGTCTGGGTAAAGACCCCCAGCCCTGCGGTCCGCGCAGCCCCTGTTTATACTTTAAAGCAGATAAAGCAGATGCTTGCACGACGCATGTTGCAGCTGGAGTGTTGAGCGAAAGAAGCAAGACATCAGAGGGTATCTTACATTTGATTCAATCATATGAGTGAGAAGGCAGCATTAAAAGGTATTGTTATGAACATTTATGTGAAACTCTAGTCAGGGACATGGCTCCCTTGAGGATGTGGGTGGTGGTTCCTGGAAAGAGAGGGTCCGTGTTCAGCGGGTCCAGGTGGGAAGGGCCGGGTGCCGGCAGGGTTCTGGGATTGGCTGCTAGAGAGTTTGCGATGTAGCTATGTTGGATAAGCTCCGCAGGCACTGTTTAATGTACATTTTGTGGACATGTCATATTTCACAATTAAGAACGTTAAAATAAATGAGAAAGCACTGACTGTGTACACGGTTAGCAGTTTCCATCTGTTAAGAAAGACGTAATGGAAACCCAGGGTTTGTCTCCTCGCTCTGCTCTTAGAGACTCCTTTCAGCAGGTGTTCTACCAAGTCTGCGCTGTATCTGTTTTGTTCTCTTAAATTCATAGGGAAAGATGTTTCTCCACACGCTTTTCACCTTGCTCTTCCCATGTAGCTGTAATTACTGTGGGCTCTTCCGTACAACAGCTGCAGAGTATTGTGTTGATTTCAAAAGGCCCGTATTTGCTTATTTAATGGCTTTTTATCATGACCAGCGAGGCTGTGAGGGATGCCCTCCTGCACAGATCCCGCTAAGCCTGTGCTAGAGTTTCCTGGGTAAATTCAAGGGGTGTGTTATGTGTTTTCACTTGGGTGGGTCTTGCCGAATCGCCCTCCAGAAAGATCCACTGATTTTACACCTACCAATGGCGTGAGACTGTATGTTTCACGACCACAAGCCATCACAGTGAGAAAAGATTTCCAGTCTTAAAGGTGAAAAGGTGTCACGATTTTGATTTCCATTTTGTAACGAGAGGTTGATGGTTTGTCGAATTTGATGGGTCTTTTGCATCTTGCTTTCTTGGTGCGCTTTCATATAATTTGGTTTCCGTCAGTTTATGTGTTAAATAGGCAGTTTCGCTTGTACTTATGGTCTGTGTCACGCCTAAAGAGTTTGCCACTCTTTTTTCCCTGTGGAACCTTTTTTCTTTATGTGGTCTAATCTATCCTTTGTTTTTAAAATAGCTTTTGGGTTTTGCATCCTACTTTCAAGGCCTTTTTCACTCCAAGATTATAAATTTCCATGCATTCTTTTAGAACTTTTATGATCCCATTTTTAGCAGTGAAATATTTGAATCGATCTGGAATTTACTTGCTGTAAAGAATAAGGAGAACTTCTGACTTAATTTCCCCACACGCGTCCAGCTGTTGCAGTGATTGGATAGTCTCCCTTTTCTGTGCGGCATAAAGTGCACACCTGTCATATGTTAAGCCTCTGTGGTGTGTTCTGGGGTCTCTTGTTCCGCTGGTCGTTCGTTTCTTCTGCGGCGCGTTCCAGATGCTTCTCATCGCTGCAGCTTTTCAACAGCTGGAAGACCGAGGCCTCTGGCAGTTCTGCTTTTCAGCAGTTTCCTGGCTAGCCTTGTCTGTTTATGTTTTTTAAGTAACTTTATTGCCTTTTTCCGTGCTTCCCCTCACCCTGCCAAGTTGGTTTGCCTTTTACCGTGTTGCAGAGAAAGAGCGTTAATTTAGGGAGAAGTGGCAAGACACCGACTCTCCTCATTTCTTACGCCTTACGTTATGTCTCTCTGAGTTTCAGGGTTTTGCGCAAACAGGGTTTGTGTACTTTCCAGTTAAATCTGTTCCTGGGTACTTTTGTGCATTATCGTGAGTGGCAGGGTGAAGTGTTCTTTCAGCTCAGTGGGGTTAAGCTGGTTGACGGTGTTGTTCACGTCTGTGTCTCTGCTGATCTCCTTCCACCGACGACTGAGAGACGGGTGCTACGTCTCTTACGGTAGTTGTGAACTTGTCCATTTCTTGTTGCATTCCTGGTAGCTTTTCTTTATGTATTTGGAAGCCCTGTTATTAGACGCAGAACTGTTTGGAATGACCATGTCCTTTTGCTGAAGTGACTGCGTGTTATTAGGACCTGACGCTCTTCCTGGGAACACTCGCGCTCTGCCTGCATCCTGTCTGCCGTGGGCACCGCCCTGCCAGCCTACCCCCTGCCGGCGCCTCAGTGTCCTGGCTCTGACTTCCCGTCATGGTGGATGCTGCTGGTGGGATGGCTGGGTCTTACTCTGTCTGTCCTCACAGCCCCGCTCTGTCCATCTTTTGAGGAGCCATGTGGGCTTGTGAGGGCCGTGCAGACCTTCTGTTTGTGCTAATGCAGCTTGAGACCCGTGGAGTGGGGCATGGGGACGGAGCGGTGGGTGCAGCGCTGCCGGCAGCCGGGGCTCTGACCACCTGCTGTGGCTTTGCAAAGCATCTGGGGACTGGCCCGATTCCCACGGGGTGTGCCCTCAGATTTTGGGGTGTCCCCTGGACGTGGCTGGGGTCCCTGAGCTCACCCCCAAGGGTCAGTGGGTTATCACCTCCCTCCAGAGCTGCAGTTTCTGCTCCCCAAGCCAGTGAAGGGCAGTTTATGTGAGAGGACTCCTGGGCGCTGCGTGAGGAGGACCCTCGTAGGGCCCTGGGTGCCCCTCCCGGGCTCGTCCTGTTCTCCCCTGGGGGATCTCGGCCAGGCTGTGTCTGGTTGGGAAAGTGGCAGTGCCTCCTGTCTCAGGTGGGAGCGGTGGCCAGCAGGGCGAGAGCCACACTGCCTCCGCGGTCCACACCTGCTTCTCTGCCTGCCTGGCTCTTGGGGCATGGGTACAGGGGGGAGCTACTGGTAGGATTCTGGAAACTCCCATCTCATTCCTTCACTGTCCGCTCTTACTTGTATCTGTTGGCATATTTTGGTCTCTGGATTTTTTAAACCTCTTTGTTGCCCTCATTTTTACGTGTGTGCTGTTGGGGTTAGGGGTTGAGTCAGGCTCTAGCCTCCGTCTTAAGCCAGAGCTTGCCACAGCTCTGACTACAGGCGATGATTCTTCATGTGCATCTTCCCCAGAAACTTCACTTGGAGATGTTGGCAGACCAGCCGCGAACAACTAAATACCACAGTGTCATCCTGCAGAACAGAGAGGCCCTGAGAGATAAAGTGATTCTGGATGTTGGCTGTGGAACCGGGATCATCAGCCTCTTCTGTGCACATTATGCTCGGCCCAAAGCGGTGAGTAGGCTGCAGCTGCCCTCTGAGCCGGATCCTGGCGAGGGTTCCACCGTGTGCCAGGCCTTGCAGGTGAGCCAGGTGGCGTGTCTTGTGGGCTGAGCCCGCCAGGGCCTGGGCTGTGGGTTTAATGAGCTGCAAATAGTGCAGAGTGGAACAGGATAGGACAGAAAATCTGAGTGAGACGTGTCTGGAGGGATGTGTCTGTGAAACGTTTGTTTCAGGGACTCGAGGAAACATGTGTGTCCACGTGTCTCGGCCATGCCACCTGCACATCACTGTCCCAGTGCCGGGCCGCCCTGGCGGTGACCGCCTGGCAGGGACAGGACGGA